CCCCAAAACCCCAAAACCCCAAAACCCCAAAACCCCAAAACCCCAGACTACTTCAGATTGTTGAAACCCTCTGGTCTAATTCCAATTGGAGAATTTGCAGAAATACAAAATTTAAAAATATTTACCAATTAACTCAGTCTTAAAGAGACTGACTTTGAGATACTCTTGAGCTGTCAGAATCCTCCACAGATTTCTTTGTCATCACTGATGAGGACCTACTGATGGCATTGTCACTTATCATGTATTTCAAGGCATATTCTACCTTTTGAAAGCGATCTTCCTTGCTTTCTATAAAGATTAGGATCGGATGTACCTTCTTTCTGCTCTTCAAACTGTTTCGTCTTGGAACGAGCTATAATCCTCATCCTGGGGCTATCTATAATTCAGAGTTAGCAATATATAGAAAAGGAGGACAAATCACCTGGAATGCTATTGTCATTTGGAGGACGATATGCAGATGCTTGCTCAAAGGCAGCAGGATCGTCGACTGTTTTGGAAAGGCCGTTCCTCTTATTTCCAAATTCTTCGGCTCTGGAGTGTCTCTTTTCTTCCACCTCTAGTATTGATTTTATTAGATCCTGTGTTTGGTCGCTATAAATAAGTCAGATAAATGAAATGATAAGTCTTTAAATATGATTAAGCCTATACCTGGTTTTATTAACATCATCTGAATTTTGAGAAGTCACTGTATCAGTCCTTTGTAAGGATACTTTCTTATGAGGAGCATAGTTCGCACTTTCTTCAATAAAATCTGCTCCAGGTTGATTATTCATATATCTTAAAAATGAGGTGATAATCATTATAACAGGGATAAGCTCTGTGAAGCTCAGTATAAGCATGAACTCAAAATTATTCAAGGCTCCAAAATTATCATTTTTAACAAAGGTAAAAACTGTTATCGATATTACTCTCAGTACACATATGCATATCAAAGTGAATAAAAGCATATTCATCTTCCGGAAGAGGCAGGTCATTATGTACAGGTTTATCACAGCTCATGCAAAATTCATAAAGCAGTAGATCACAATGGCAGTAATTTTCACAACTCTGATTAAGAGGCTAATACCGTGGTCCACTCAGAATAGAATGTTGATAAATGGGATGAATAATATATAGATCCATAAGATCATGTGTCAAGCTATCTTCGTTCATAATTTCGGAGATCTCCGGATTATATAAAACCTATAAGTGTTCACCATCACTGCGATTAGAAAAGTCGTAAGTGGCATGTACTCAAAAGCAGCCTCTTGACATTTGGTAGGCTCCTCTTCAAAGTCTTCATCAGTTATAATCGGTATTAAAGTGAACCCACGGATTATCAGTGTAATGGCCAGGAAAGTGAAGATCATTAGATTTGAGGAGAGGATACTCCCATTGTTGTTTTTTATATAATGGATCATTATGTAGAGCAGAGGCATTAAGATTAGGATACAGATCGAGCAGTATATTATTCCTACAATCATTCTCATTGGCTTGGCACGGAATATTTACTATTAAATAATATTAAATCCAATTTTATTACTACTACTTGGGGTTTTGGGGTTTTGGGGTTTTGGGGTTTTGGGG